CTGAAGACTGGAGTAATGATGCTGAAAATACAGCTTTGCATCACAGGAATAAATAACATTTTATAATATATTGAAGTAGAAAACAGTTTTTTTAAATTGTAATAATATTTCAGAATATTACTGATTTTACTGTATTTTTGATCAAATAAATGTCACGTCACTTTCACTTTCATATGTTCATCTGCAGATTGATCAGGGTTTGTGGTCTGCTGGAGACTAGATGTTTTTCTGTGCCAAACACTCTTTTTAAGCTGCTTGTTTTGAACCAGTCATGCATCAGGCTGGCATATGTTTACCAGATCTCCTTGTCAATACTTTATAAAGCATATATATATTACTTTGACTGCGGATACATGGGTTAAAATAAGAGGACGATGCACTAGTAAATGAACCTGGTCAAGTTTACAGTTTTATCAGATGCACGGGTTCATAATCGTCGTGAATTAATATCAGAGTTTGCTGGACTGGTTTATGAAAAAGTGGTCGTGTTTAGCACATACAAATTTCATCACAAAAAGTATCACTAACAAAGAAACAGATGCTCTCATCATATGCATAGTGTTGATTTGAGCTGCATTGGGCAGCGCTTCCCTCTAGTGGACTACAGAAAAACAACCTGAAGTACTATAGAAGGCACATAAACGTGACACTTTGCCTGCATCGTGAAAAAACTAAGACTACAATTGGACAATCTCTTGACATCATGTTTGCATTTTGTCAATAATACAATATCTGATCATCTTTTTGAAAGAGAAATCTGTTAATAGAGCGGCTCAGCAAATGTATATGTGTTCACCTTTCTTAGAGAGTGTGAATCTAGTAAAGTGATGGTAAAGTTACGTTTATTGTGGACTCACTGGTTCAGCTGCCAGTTTACATTTTGATTCACAGAAATGCCTTAAAACGCCATTTAGAGACATGGTGCACACATTTCTCTTCTTTTATACTTATTATGGTTTGGGTTTTTTTCTATCATTTTTATTGCTTGATCTTCACTTTATTTACTACTTAAACATTAACATCTACTGCAGTGATCTTTATATTTCTTGGTTAGCAGCTGGGGCCTTTATAGCTGTATGTTTTAAAAGTTCATCAAAACGGTACAAGGTCTAAGAAACGGACTGAAACGCACCATCACTGCCTGCACATCGATGTCCGAGTCATTTTACAGCATTGTAGTGAGTTATTTGCTAATTATTAATGTCTGCTGTAAACACACTGATTCTGATTTGTTGTATTTGTGGTTCAGCCCACTTATTTTGACTCGGTTATCTCCTGTTTAGGCCTTTTTTAAAGGATTAACACAGTTGTCGTTGTGCGGTACAGTAATGCTTACTTCCCTGTTTTACATGGTCCTTTTTGTATTTGCTCATGTTGAGAAATAAATAACTTTCTGAGTCATTTGTTTTGAACGCTTTAGTTTCCTGCAAGCATAAAGTCTCAGAAATGGTTTGTGGATTTGTGTAAATTTCATCCATTTCTGTTTGTACACCGTAAATAATATTTTGCTCAACAGTGAAATTTTATTATGCTTTTTTGATTCATCATTTTTGACTAGTTTAATTGACCCTGCAAATTATATGAATCTTTCAATTAAAGACTGTAAAATTGATTGACACTAAATATAGCTTTTTTCCCCATTTTCTTTACTTAATGTACACTTTTGTAAACACGGCTGCATTTTTAGAACATTTTAAAATTAGGTGCATTTAAAATGTGTGTTTTTTTTTCATTAAAGACTAATAATTGACACTAAATATAGTTATTTTTTAATTTTTTTACTAAATGTAAAAATTTAATTTTTATATCATTTTCAATCAAAAACTGTGTCCGTATCCATTTCAGGCTGCAAAACAACAAAATGTGATTATTTAAAAAGGGGGCGATTCTTTTCTATATGTGCTGTATGCAAAAAAAAAAAAAAACTAGATTTAATGTAATTTAATATATTTACCCTTATCTATATTTGTTTTTAATTATTATTTTAGCCAAGCTGATTTTGATCTTTTCACAAAATAATGCATTTTTATTTACCAAAGTAACATTAAGCAGCATTGTTGTAGAGTTCTGTAAGCTGCGTCAATGAATGACGTATTGATGGGCGTGGTTTCGTCTGTGGTGGCCCCGCCCCTCTACGCCTGGGGTCCCCAGCGGGGCTGAGCGTGAGACAGACGGAACCCGAGCAGAGCAGAGCCGCAGAGAGCGAGACGGCCTGAAACATGACCACCAACATCCGATATAAGAGCAGAATGGTGAAATCCGGTAATGACACAAACGCTGGCACTGTTTTACTCTGTTTGACTGGATGAGATGCTGATGATTTCTCTCTTCCTGCCTGTGCGTCTTCATCCCTCCCGCATCCCGCACCTGCTTCCCACATCCGACCTGCCGCCGCTGCTGATGCTGCTGCTGTCGATGGTCGCATTCAGAGGACAGTGAGGTGAGAAACGAGAAACTTCACCACATTTCGCAATTTCAATTCAGTTTTAGAGTTCCGCGCGACATAAAATCTCACGACCCTCAGTTTTAAGTCTGACAGTGCGTTTTATGCATTTTGTGAATGCAAATCATTTTTGTGTGTTCGTGTTCGTGTTTACGAGGTTTAAAATCATTTCGGCTGATTGTGCCCGCGACTGACGCACTTTATTTCTCATCATCTCAGCCGTCAGGATTGTAATGTGCGCTGTCATACATTCTAGCCTTGAGGAAATCTGGTGCCTGCTGGCTGTTTTGTGTCGTTTTGAGCTCTGATAGAGGATGATAGTGCTGTTTCTCTCTGGAGGTGTTGTCATGGTTACAGGAGCCGGAGTGTGTGAGAGCGGGGCGAGTGAGCAGCGCATAAAGCAGATGCCTGAAGTGTGAACCCTGAGCTCTGTGTGTGCAAATACATGTTTATAGTATTTGGTGAATATTTGCTGAAAAGAAATAGAGTGTTACCTCCTCAAGCAATCAGATCTGTTGGTGGTTTGCACCTAAATGTTGTTTCACACATTCTAGTATCACTCATAAAATGGTTTGGCGATCATTTTTATTTATGTGTTGATGTATTTTTCTAGCTAATAGACTTTAGTTCATGTTACAATCCAGTATATGTGGTATTATCATGTTATTGGACATCAATATTTTTGAATCATTGTATATTTTTAAAATGTAAAAGTTTGGGGTCAGTAAGATTACTTTTTAAAATGTATTATTATTATTATTATGCAAGAATGCATTAAATTCATCAAAAAGTGACAGTTAAATCATTTATAACGTTGCAAAAGTTTTATATTTCAAACAAATGCTGTTCAAAGAATCTGTTTCCACAAAAATATTCGGCAGCACAACTGCTTTTAACATTGATAATTATCAGAAATGTTTCTTGAGCAGCAAATCAGCATATTAGAATGATTTCTGAAGATCATGTGACACTGAAGACTGGAGGAATGATGCTGAAAATTCAGCTGCACATCACAGGAGTAAATTACAGTTTAAAATATATTCAAATAGAAAAGTTATTTTAAATTGTAATAATATTTCACAATTTTACTGTTTTTACTGTATTTTTGATCAAATAAATGCAGCCTTGGTGAGAAGAAGAGACTTCTTTCAAAAACATGTGAAAACTTACAGACCTCAAACTTTTGAACAACAATGTATATCTGCTAAAAGTTTTTTCATCATTCAGAAGTATTAGCATGTAGATATAATGCAAGTATGTAAATATAAATTGCTTTTTAATTTGACAAACAATCACAAAGAAATGGCAAGTATCACATTGAATTAAACAAAACTTTGAAACTTTGTAATAGAAAACCTGAAGTATTTTCCATGTAAAACATACTCCAATAATCTTTGTTTTATTTTTATTTTTTTTTACAGTATAAAAGCATCTGCTAAATGATACAGCAATGCTTTAATGCTGGAAACATTCTGTTTCACTATGTAGACTGAAGCTGTTCAGAAGGTTAGTAATTTCACGCAGCTTCCAGCACTTGACCCATACACACACACACACACACACACATACACACACACATGTAGTTACTAGAAAGCTCATCATCCTACGCAAAAGCAGAAATGCAACAGTTCACACCCACACACACACACTGTCAATGTTACAAGATCTCTCTCTCTCTCCCTCTCACACTCATTCTCCTGTTCCTTCCTTCTCCCCTTGTCATTTTCTGGTCTCTTTCTCTCTCTCTCTGCATTGAGGCTTAATAACTTAATGGTGTGGAAGGTTGGCTGCCATTTCAGACACGTCTTATTTATCTCTGAAAAGGTCACTGCATTGAAATAAGACTGTGTGTAAGTTTGTGTGTGTGTGTGTTTCTATAGAATGACCTGTCTGCAGTGTGCTGTCAGCTTAGTGCGCAGCTGCATGCAGCGTGACAGATGGCAGAATTGAAGTTTCTTTTGATCATGAAGTCAAATGGCCTGTGCAGTTGCTCAAATGCCACAGCAAGAAACATCCATCTCAGTATCTAGTATGAGAGAGGACAGAGTGTTCTGTAAGTGCTCCAGACAGAAATGTTATATTTGGTCGAACTTTTGCTGTAAATGTGAGCCTGTTTAGCTCATATACTCCACTGTTCAAAAGTTTGGGTCAGTACGATTTTTTCTTTTTGAAAGAAATTAATTTTTTTTTTAATTACTATTATTCAGCAAGCACGCATAAAATTGATCAAAAGTGTCAGTAAAAACTTTTATTCAGCAAGCACGCATAAAATTGATCAAAAGTGTCAGTAAAACATTTATATTACAAAAGATTTCTATTTCAAATAAATGCTGTTCTTTTGAACTTCCTATTCGTCATGCATCACGCTTTCCACAAAAATATGAAGCAGCACAACGGTTTTCAATACAAAAATTATTCAAATTAGAATGATTACTGAAGGATCATGTGACACTGAAGACTAGAGTAATGATGCTGAACATTCAGCTTAGCATCACAGGAATAACTTACATCTTAAAATACATAGAAAACAG